TATTAATGGCAAACACCCTGTTGGGTGAATGTGTGACAAATGACTGGAGAAGTGGTCATTCGCTGCTTATAAATATGCTCCTATGGCTGACAAATCAAACAAAATTATTATCTCAGAGAAACATGTTATTTTTACTTAGAACACCCAAGGGATTTTTTGCATGCACAATATTTGTTTAACAGCTTTATCTTGTTCACTAAGCTAAGGGTGGACTCACTTTGCACTGATGTGCAACAGGCATGTGCATATCAGATACCAGACATCTGATATCCATATACACTATATTGCCAAAAGTATTGGGACGCCGACCTTTACACGCACATGAACTTTAATGGCATCCCAGTCTTAGTCCGTAGGGTTCAATATTGAGTTGGCCCATCCTTTGCAGCTATAACAGCTTCAACTCTTCTGGGAAGGCGTCCACAAGGTTTAGGAGTGTGTCTATGGGAATGTTTGACCATTCTTTCAGAAGCGCATTTGTGAGGTCAGGTACTAATGTTGGACGAGAAGGCCGGGCTCGCAGTCCTCGCTCTAATTCATCCCAAAGGTGTTCTATCCGGTTGAGGTCAGGACTCTGTGCAGGCCAATCAGGTTCCTCCACCCTAAACTTGCTCATCCATGTCTTTATGGACCTTGCTTATTGCACTGGTGCGCAGTCATGTTGGAATAAGAACGGGCCATCCCCAAACTGTTCCCACAAAATTGGGAGCATGAAATTGTCCAAAATGTCTTGGTATGCTGAACTAGGAACTAGGGTCCAAGCCTAACCCCTGAAAAACAACCCCACACCATAATCCCCCCTCCACCAAACTTTACACTTTACACTTATTTCTATATAGATTATATTTTAACATTTTCCTATTAATTTATTTCAGATCTATGTCATATTATGTTATGTTTCGAAAAATATATGTTTGAAAACAGCTATAAATAAATATTATTTAAAAATTATTGTTGAGCCCTCTTGCCAGAACTTGAATACTTTTCTTTAAACTAATCCCTATTAGGTATAGGTGACATGAGGCCTTCCAGGTTTTATGGATCTGCAAACAATAATACACACTACGAGTAAATATGTGTGATTACAATTTTGCTTATCAATGGTATTTCGTTGATGGTTTATATAATATTCAAATTAGTAGAGAAAGATTTTTAACATTACAACAGTTAAAATAAGCAGGTGTGAGAAGTTATATCTCAATGTTTTCTATGAATATTTATATTTCCAGTAAAATTTCTATCTTGCGTATAAAATATCACAGACAAATAAGTTTGGTAGATATAGTTGGAAAAAAAAAAAAACCCTCACTGTGAAAAGGTATTTTTAAACGCAGATTTAAATTGTGTTTTTGAAAAAAAATCTTGATTTTGCTTTTAATTACTATGTGCATAAAGCAGAACACATGCAGGTGTGGATATCGGGGAGGATTCATTTAACATGAGATTCACATATATTCTGTAAAAATGGTTACTTTTTTTTTAACAACAAGTAATTGCGCTGTCAGCACAGTTTTCCCACTACGTGCTTTAAAATGCAATTTTTTTTAACGAAAACTATTTAAACAGCAACTTAATAAAGGGTTCAAAATATGTGTTTTTCACTTAGAGAAAATATAAGACCAAGCATCTGTAGGACAATACCCCACATGCTTCTTTGTAACAACTACCTATAATAATTTGAGGTTTATAATGTACTTTTTCGTGTGTAAGTGTTGAAAAGTATGTTGCAAACAAATTTAATATATAACTATAATAATAATTATTGTTTAAAAACTATTGGTTATTTTTATTTTTTCTAAAATTGCAATTTTCTTAATCTTATCAGCAATGCTTAGAGCCACAAACAGATTGTAAAGGCAGCATCTGGCCCAAGTGCCACCAGTTGGACAGCCCTAGGCATCGCAAAGTGACCTATATTAGCTATTGTGCATCCCTGTCCATCACAAGCTTTTTCTATACTTTTCACTTGATCAAAAAATTGTTATAGAGATAAAAAATACTAAAAAATGTCAATAATGTGTACCTGTTGCTTATGTTCAGAGACGGAGGACATATTTTTGAGCTGAACCAATACTCAAAGTACAAAATGATTGCCTGTGATGTTACCCTGGTCACAATGACATCAAAATTCCTAGTGAGCAGTTGCATTCTCTTTAAGACTGGTCAGCCCATAAATTGGATTCCTGTTCTTTGTTCATAGATAGCAAATACAATTGACATGTTTAAATAATAAATGTGTAGCATATAAATAATGTTATGAAATATATACAATATAATATAAATCAATAGCATCACATAAAAATAAATATCCTGATTGGTTGTAATGGATGATAACCTCATTTTCCTTTTCTCTAGCATATTTCTTCTCACAACCCTGCACACCTTTTAGTCAACAAGGACAATGCCACTTCATTGTTTTTCAAAGAAAAATACCCCTTTGCATGTGATGTTGACCTGTCCCTAGAGGCATTATATTGTCTGATATACATAGGCTGATTTTCTAGGCTTGAGAATAAATTGAGTGAAGATTAATTTAAATGATGCAATCGTGTGAAAAGCAAATGTCTATTTATTTAATCTACACATGATCGGGTATTCAAAATGAACACAGCTACAATTTATTGAGTGAAGATTACTAGCTCCTTTAGTAAATCAGCTTCATAGTCTCAATTCAGTTAGGCAGCCTATTGATCTCTTATGCCCCCACAGAACGTTTCATGGGGTGAACAAACCAATGGGTCTATTTATAATTGCTTTCACGCAAGGTTAACACATCTTCCATTCTGGTTTTACACATTTTTCCAGTTGAATCCAAAATGAAATATGTGTATATCTTGAATGAAAATTGTGTGAATACTTCTGTGAAAATATTTGCAAATGAACATTTTTAATAGTGGAATTTCATTGACCTGTAGCAACCTACAAGACATTTGTATCTATCTAATATAAAGGTAGAAAATGAAGACTGATTGGTTAGCGCACTCCCAGGGGGGTGTGTGGTGTGTCGTGGCCGTTGTGCGGCTCCTCATGTTATTAGACCTGGGGTGTCTAACTGTGTAATGCTGAACCACCAGCAAAGGAAAGGAGCGCAACTGACTGGCGCAGACTGTGTGGAAGGAGATTGACCAGGGAATAACAGTAAATCGATGTAGAAGGAAGTGGGAATGGAAACTGGGCACTCACGTGTGATGGAATGGATGGGCACAATGGTGGTGATCTCCTGGTGATGTTGTCGTGAGGTCTGGTCGTGGTGACAGGTGTGTGTTCAGTGGGCAGATGTGGATCCTTGGGAATGGGAGGTCAGAATCTGTGCAAGACTCTTCGATTTGCCACTTGTTCTTCGTTGTTGATATTGCCACACACCAAACCCCATGGTGAGTTAAGAATTTACTTCTTTTTCATACATTTGCACAGATTCTGACCTCCCATTCCCAAGGATCCACATCTGCCCACTGAACACCTACCTGTCACTATGACCAGACAAATATGTGTTTTTGGCCTTAAAATCATATTAATAGTTAAATAATTATTGCATATGGAACTATGCAATGCAAACATGGCCAATCTTATAAAATCAGAAATTGGATCAAATGTTTTGATCATTCAGTATTTGTTAAATGTTTAGCAGGCTTGGGAATCATGATAAGTCAATCTCCACATTAAAAACAAGTCTAGTGCTGAAAGTCAGGTTAGCATAATACAAATAAACCCTGAAAATAAATATTTAGATGAGCATTCCATAAACACAGCTGTCCTTAGGATTCTGCCAATGCAGCAAACGTGATCTGAACGAATTACATTGGGCACAAATGATAGTGTCTTTAAAAGCTTTAAAGAGCAAGATAGGTAATATGCAGTTTACGAAGTCATTGCCCTTTACAGTATGAAATGTGTTGGAAATTTGAGTTTTGTTTTAGGGTGCCTTAGTTAAATCTTTAGTACATGGGTAAAATGGGTTAGCAGTTTCACAGATCATGCTCAAAACCTTTTTGTTAGCATTCTGAGTTTTAATTAAGAGCTCCCGTGTCTATCTTTTCCCTGTAAGGTTATAACACATAATTTGTGTTTTTTAAATTCACTTTTATTTGTTGCTTAAGGATATTTTTAGTTCGATGTAGTTTTTGTATTATAAAACTTTTTGTTCATTTAGCCTAATTTTTAGAATTAAATTGAGCTGAACTTTTTTTCGTGGGTGAGTTTAGTACAATATGTAGTTCAGTACCAGACCATTATTTATATGGTGTTATTAAACCATTTCAGTTGGCAATACCCAGTGCAGATTGCCCTTTTTAGTGATAAGTAATGATAAAAAAATTGTAGCCTGTAGCTGACATCTGCACGGCACAGTCTTTTCAGTTGCCCTAATTTATTTAAAAATAAATTACAATTGAAACAAAAAAAACGGACTTAACGTCCAAGACTGTTAACAAAAATTTGCAACACCACGCTAAAGGTTTAAATGAAATAGTATAACAAAGGAAATACAAAGGCTTTGGTATGGTTTTGTACAATCAACAATGGTTAATTCTGATATGTATTTGTGAACAACTTGAAAAACACTTAAAATGAAAACTCTTGCAAGCACGTTTTAATCGGTATAAGGAATGGTCTCTATGCACAAGGATGTTTGGACTGTGAACATTTTGTACACTCTATCTAGGAACAATGGGATGACCTTGCTTTCCAAGAGAAATAAAAGAACTCATGATGCATGAAAATGTGTATAAAACATCTATACAGTATCCTCATCAAATATAAATGAAATTAACTTTATTATAGAAATCATTCTGGGAGATTTCTAGGGAAGACACAAACATACATTTCGACATAAAACAAATTGGATTATATCGAAGATATCATCTACCTTTCATCTACCAAACGTCTCTCTCTTCCGTTTTTCTTTTTTCCATTTTTTTAAAACTTTTGGAACGTTAAACATCAACCTTTGGGGATTACCAAACAGGAAACTGGGGGAAGGTGAGTATTTATATAATTATTTTTTTTCCGGCAACTGGCCCAAGGGAAGTTGATACAAAAATTAGGAAAATTGGTCCAAGGATGGACAAAATCAAGGGACGATATATATCTTGATAAAAACCTCTTTAAATTCGTGGCTTGATCATGGCTTCCAATAAAAAATAAAATAAAATAAAAAATAATGATCAACAGAGAGCAGATCCGGACTACCCGCCTGCGTTGTTCTGTTCAATATCACATAACAGAGTCAGTTTACAAAGAGTACATCAAATGGATAAAAGTTTGGATATCAAAATGAAGGTTTGATCCAACTGATATAGATACCGCTTTCAGTGTGCAAATGTCTGTTGTGCAGTCTTTCCCAATATTATCAATATACAGTCGCTGTCCAGAGAAGTCTTTTTGATTTTTTTTTTTTTCTTTATCTTTTCCAAGCCAGTCCCTGGATTTTTATAAAATACTGCTGAACATCCAACTGTTTTCCATAAAGTCATTGGTTAAATTAACACGGTTTTTACTGTAATCTTGGCCAGTACTGAGACATGTCAGGTTCATTCCCGGGTACTTGTACTGGGACTGACACTCCAGGGGAAATGAGACCTAGAAAAATAAATAGAAAAGCAAAGGGGTATATTACTATGTCACGCAGTCTGTCTAGTTTATCACAATACACAACACATGCAACTTTGTGGCGTTAGGGTATTTGTAGGAACTGTTCTAATTCGGATGCAAGACTTTATTAGGCATGCATTGTGTAGCGAGTGGCTTTTTTTTCTTCTTTTTGCTTTGTTTTTATATTAGATATAGCTGATCTACAATGGTCTGCATAGGTGCAGACATTGTGCTGTGTGTTAATGTGTAGCTATCCCGTTCGGCAGTGACTGCGTGTGGGGGAGTGGCAGAGAGAGGGTGGAAAATAATGGCATGCCTACCTGTAGAGGTTGTACCAGAGGTGCCCATTGGCTGGCTGTTCATGTGTGTCTGCATGTGGGGAGGTGTGTATGTATCATAGCTCCGCCCATTCACAGATGGACTTGTGGGCAACATGCATGAGTAGGAGGAAGTCTGGCTGGGTACAGGGGGCTGGAAGAAGAAAGAAAAGCAAAATTACTGCTCAGTGCTATTTGTGATGTTTAAATACAATCACTGCACCTCCTGTATCCATCATCTGCCCATTGGCTAAAAAAAAAAAACCTTACAGTGTGTGTGTGTGTGTGCGTGTTGTTTCTGTGTCACTGACCTACATAGACTATTGTTGACGTTGATGAGCAATGTGTAACCTCATGACATTGTCTGCAGCTTGGCTTCATCTCCCATGGTGCAAAAGCATCATGGGAGCTCAGAAAGTCGTACAGTGATGCACACAGACTATAAGAATGCAGTGAATATTTACAGTCTAATTAATAAAAGAAAGAATGGTTTCCTACACTCAGCTGCAATTTGATCTTGCATGAAGCTAAGGTTGTTTCTTGATACAGGTGCAGTTTGTTTTCTGACAGCTGTTCACAGAGGCATGCCTTACTGCTTTATATCTGGCTCTCCCAAAAATCATTTCATTTAGACGGTAACAGAAAGAAGGAGAGGCTATTCAGTCATTCGTGCCAAGATGCCATGGCATTGCGTTTCAAGGGACAACTTGTGCCTGTGTCAACAGCTTATGCCAATGCAAGAGAAATTTGCAGCTAGTGTAGATAGTCTGTAGATAAATCTTACATCATTAAAATAAAAACTGCAAGTTGCTTTAAACATGGTCATCTTAGTAAAGTACCTGCACTTCAAAATAAAATAATTCCTAAAATGCTTTTTTACTGGCACATTAAAGAAAAGAAAGTCTTATGCAACAGCACGCTCGGTTAGGTGCAAGGCGCATAACTGTCATTTGTAAAACTGCAGAGTGCCCCTGGGAGTCCGGAACCTTGGTTGTGTCAAGGGGCACCTTTGCACAAGTACCACTGGGATTTAGGGACACCTACTCCACAGTCAAAGGTGAATGCCTCTGCGACCTGTCGAGTGGCTTCCATATTGGACTGTGCAGTGTGTGTGGTGTGTGTGTGTGGGTGGGTGTGCAGCACACTGTGGTTCAGCATCCTCAGGAGATGCAAATTCACAGACCAAAGATGTGTCCTGCCCCTTTTCGGGGCCTCCTTGTGCCCAAGTGTGTTGCCACATACTGTGTACTAATGGAAGGTTTTAATTTAAGCAAGCACTTCCTACAGGGAATGCTTAGTCTTTTTTTATACAAGTAAACAAAAAATAAAAGATGAGTTTGATGTAGATTTACTAATATGTTAATCTTTTTTAAGACCTTATTTCTGTACCTTGTGATTTATGTATGTGTATGGAGGCAGCCATATTACATGCAGTTCCGGATTTACTCCATCTGCTGCCTCAAGGCCAGGTTCCTCAATGCGCCCCCTCCACGCTCCCAATCCCTCCTCAATTGTACAAGTAATCATCGCCGAGATCACTTGTACAAAACGAGCTGCAGCTTCCCCGCTCTACATTTAGCTCTGCTTGCCCAAAGCAAGGCTAAATGTAGAAAAAAACGACCCACCCGGTGCCTGGAACTGCATTTTCCTGAGCTTCGGGTGATAGGAATTCCACACCCCTGCTGCCCCTCTACCCCCTGCTGCCCCAAGGCCAGGCCTCGGGGCAGCAGGGGGAAATCGGGCCCTGATTACATGCTCAGGCTGTACCCTCTGCTGTGCACTTGCACATGACGGTTGTGCTTCTCTTCTCCTCACAGTGCAAATCTATTGGGCTGATATATAAATTGTGTGAATATTCACTTAATTTATCCAGCCAGGTGAAACGCAAAATCCTCTTTACCTATTCCATTGTCACAATCTTTGGGCATTTAAAATGAACAGGAAGCTGCTTTTCACATGATTGGATAAATACATTAAATATTCACACAATTTTTTAGGTGAAGATTCCTAACTCCTAATAAACCAGCCTGTGTCAGTCTGTTGACTGATTGAAAACAATGCACTCCCTGTGTGCCTGATGTCTCAACACATGTTAAGCAGGTAGCACGGAGCCACTGAGAGCTTCCCCTAGTGTAGGGGAGGGCAAACTCCGGCCCTCCAGCTGTGGTAACACTACAAATTCCATCATGCTTCATCGGCCTCTGGAAGTCATGCTTGTGGCTGACAGAGTCTTGCAATGCTTCATGGGTTTTGTAGTTTCACCACAGCTGGAGGGCTGGAGTTTGCCTCCCCCTGATCTAGTGGGAAATCTACAAATATTTGTGTAAGTCATATAAAATTACTTTAAATACTGCAATAATAAGCCATCATTCACACTAGAATCGGCCCGCACGTATAGCTCCGTGCTGCGTGCATGGCCGTACCGAGCAGCTCCCGTGAAGGACAGGTGCTGCGTGTGATTAGTATGCAGCCCCCGTCCTTCTCTATGGGACTATGCGGCTGTACGCCCCCCTACGCTCACCCGCCCAGCACGTCCGTTTGCGCCGGAGCCAGGAAGCACGCACCCCTACGGACCTGCACTTGAGGTGAGCGTAGGGGGGCGTATGGCCGCGTAGTCCCATAGAGAAGGACGGGGGCTGCGTACTAATCACACGTAGTACCTGTGCTTCCCGGGAGCTGCCCGATACGGCCGTGCACCCAGCATGCAGGCCGATTCCAGTGTGAATGAGGCCTAAGTCAAAAAATTTGCTCCCTGAAAACACACTGGGGGCAACCAATCAGCTTCTCTGTTCAGTTTGTTCAGTTAAACTTTGAAAATGAAAGGTGGATGCTGATTGGTTGCCATGCACAGCTGCTATCGATTTCGTCTGCACCAGTTTTGATAAATTTCCCTGACTGTACATGCCTTTTAAGAGTAAATTTGTTAATGTAACGTCTGTACCTTTTGTGTACTACCCGAGGGGGACTAGTTATTAATGACGTTAAGGGACTCATTGAATGATTATCTGGCTTAGGTATAAATCAACCTCTTGATGGCGTCCAAATAAAATCGGATTTCTGGTTCACAGGGACTAAATGGGCCAACAAAGGGAAGGCAGCAGAGGCAGTTGCGAAGGGTGGGCGTAGAGGAGGCTCACCATCACTTTGAGAAAATAAGAACAAATCTGGAAAACTTTGGAGGTCTTTGCATGGGGCTGACGGGGGAAATCTGATTCTTAAATTCTTATTTTTCTTAAAGTTGCTATTGTCCATGAAATGTAGGAAACACACGGAATGCAGAATTATTACATTGCATACAATAGGGCTAAAAACAGGGTTTTCTTTTTTGGGGCGCATTATTACAAACATTGCCCGTGATGCAATACAACTTTTGTAATAAGAAGTTTTCATTCTTAAGAAGTACATCTTAATGTCTGGAAACCAAGAGCAACCAATCAAAACTCCCTCTGCTGAATGCAAGGCCAGCTCAAGATAAATTGTGATTGGTTGCTCTGTGTTACCAGACTCAAGAATTCATACTGACAGTGGAACCTCACACAGCCAAAGCAGTTGACTCCAAGGCATGCCACTTGCCAGCCAACTGATGGTAGTGGTTCTATTTCAGCCCTCCACTGAACGTTCAATTCCTCAAATGGCTGGTGTCATAGCTGATCACATGTGCAGCGCCATGGCAACTGCAATCCAAAAAGAGGCTAAGATGGCACCTTCCTTGGCAAAAAAGCATAAGATGGTGTAGTTCTGCTTTAAGAATAAGAAGTCTTTATGTAATAAGGATATATATGTACAAAAACTGGGGTTAAAGGAAGGATCTGGGCAGGGGTGGGCAACTCCGGCCCTCCAGCTGTTGTGAAACTACAAGTCCCATGAGGCATTGTAAGACCCACAGTTACAGGCATGACTCCCAGAGGCAAAGGCATGCTGGGATTTGTAGGTAAAGCACAGCTGGAGGGCTGGAGTTGCCCACCACCTGTCCTATTTACAATCCATGGTTTGAAAATTAACCAATAATTCTGATTGGTTGCCATAGGCATTGAGGGGAATTTATCAAAAATGGAACAGACAGAAACTGGGTCAGTTGCTCATGGCAACCAATCAGCTTCTCTTTTTTTTGTTTTTAAAGCTTAACTGAACAAAACTTAATGGGAGGCTGATTGGTTACTATGGGCAACTGCTCCCACAATTTGTCTGCTCCATGTTTATTCACAAGCCTCTTTGTGGCCCCTGGCGGCTACTGAGATGCAACTGTCACTGCAGAAAATAAAATGAAAGGAATCGTCTGATTGGACACCATGGGCCGTCAAAACATCAGTATTTAGCCAATATTATAGAACACAATATAAAGATATAATAAACTAGCGGTGAGCGGTGCCTGCCGCGACCAAAATATCAGGTTTGGGTGGATTTGGCTGTTAGAGGAGGGGGGGGGACAGAGTGGAATAAATATGAGGGGCGCACAGTTATTTACATGAACCGTAATCAGTCATAATGGCACAGAGCGGAAGAAATGCTAAATACCGGTCTGGCCATGACTCACTGAGGACATTTATTTTTGTCCAGGCGCTGACAGCCATGTTTCTTGTGGTGTACGAGCATCACATAGGGGGCCTTTTTACTAACATGGTGCCTTAGCGTGCAGTGCCCATGGCAACCAATTAGAAACCCTTGAATGAATGTGGCCGGGGTCATTTGCAGCCATTTTTTATGACATGTTGGTGCTGTTTAGCATACAATGACCTAACATCGCCCTTTCAGCTAGTGTTCTGTTATCCAGATCATTTTACATATCATGGGCCTTATTCATCACCAAAATACAAGAAGAAGAAAGATATCTGGGATAAATATGTAAGAATGTTTTGCTATACATAACAGACTTCTTGGTAAGTCGTGCAAGTGGCAACTCCCCAAACTATCATAGAAGTAGGCAAAACTTTGCCCTCAAGCTGTGGTGAAACTACAATTCCCATGAGGCAATGCAAGCCTCTGACAGCCACAGGTATGACTCCCAGAGTCAGATGCATGATGGCACTTGCAGTTTCACCACGGCTGAAGTGCCAAGGTTGCCTAACCCTGCACTATATTATCATTTGTCATAATATTGCTACATCAGGTCCTGTTAAAGCATTTAACGTTTCTATCAATATTCTTATTTTAAATCTTCAAATGTGTTCCTTTCCTACATAGGGCAACTTTCCTTTTACACGCCCTGTAAATAAATAAATATGTATAAAAAGCCATTTTTAAGATGCTTGTTCCCTGTGTTGTCACTGGCAGTATATACGCCCATTGTTCGTGTACATAATGTGGATTAATTTAATGAATGTGGATATGTTAAGCAAACAAAAAAAAAAGTAATGAAAACTAAAACTAAATATATTTGGTTTTCTTTTTAAACCCTTACTCATACATCGCCTACATATGTATAAAATAGACATGTTCAACATAAGGACTACCAGGCCTGACCATTCTAGGCATTATAAAGTGTTAATAATGATTCGTTTTATATACCGGACTGGTAACACAGAGAATATGCAAAAAGTACATTAACGGTAAAGCACATGTCAATACTCACTTGCATAGGCAGGTTATTTCCCATGGTAAAACTAGGCATTGGTGGCAACGCACTGTATGTGTTTGTAAGTGCTGTGTCTGTTCTTCCCAACATAGAACTTGATGTGAATGAGGACACTGGGCAAGAGAAAGAGAAGACAAATTAGTCTATTGATCGATCAGATGATCTAACGTCCAGCTGCACATTTCTGCCATGTGGAACTTCTTTTAAATCACAGAAATATACTCAACATTGAAAATAGCATGTATTAGCTATCTTGTTTCCTTAAGCATGAACAGGCTCTTGAACTATCCGCTGCACCAAGTAAGTGACGTTACAAATTAGCTTTTTGTCATGGGTGTATTGTTCAATGATGTCTTTAATGTGAGTAGACAACTGTAGACAATTTCTAGCTTTCGTCTATAGCAAGGGTGGGCAACTCCGGTCCTCCAGCTGTTGGGGAACTACAAGTCCGATGAGGCATTGCAAGACTGACAGTTACTGGCATGATTCCCAAAGGCATTTTGGGATTTGGAGTTAAAGCACAGCTGGAAGGCCAGAACCATGGTCTATGGCGAGCTCTGCGCATTTCCAACTGGTCGCATGGATTTTTTTGAAACATGCCTATACTATTTAGCCTTCCCCCAAATCCCCAACCACAGCAAAGACAGGAACAGAAACTACAGTGGTTGGTGTGGTCCTTTCCCTACCTCCTCCACTGCTGGGAGTAGGACCATCCTCAGCCCCGCCATCTTGACTGATGACATCTAGCTTTGGAAATGCGCTCCCTTAATGGGAAGGGGGTGCCTCCCCCGGCCTGCTTCCCCTACCCAAAAGATAGCTATCTAGGACTGCTGAGTTTTGGGTTATGCTCCTTACAGGAGCAAAAGAAGGTAGGGTCAGTGGACGGTAGGGGTGGCCTTCAAGTAGTGAATTTTCTACTTTAAAAATAGATGGTCTTGAGCAGGGGTAGGCAAACTCCGGGCTTCCAGCTGTTATGAAACCACGAATCCCATCATGCATCTTCTGCTGGGAGTCATATCTGTAGCTGTCAGAGTCTTGCAATACCTAATAGGATTTGTAGTTGCACCACAGCTTCAGGGCTGGAGTTTGCCTACCCCTGTTCCAGAGAGCAGCAGAACCCCGGACAGACGGAGGTGGGAAGGTCACACTTTCATCACCATACACGTGTTTAGGCAGCTCTACAGTATGTGAAAGCTGGGTTCCAGTACCAAGCTGAGTTCCTGGTCCACAGCTTTTGGACCAGGACATATACATATGTAGAGAAGTGGTTAAACGCTGGTAGACACAGAATGAAACAAGACATCTAATAAACTCTATTTAGAAAATCTGTTATTGTACTTTTCAGTCTTACGGTTTTACCTACACTGGAAAGCTGGCATCATGCCCTATTCTTCATGCTTACCTGGCGTGGTGGGTTGTGGTATTGGTTGGTAGACGCTAGTGCTGAAACTACTGCTAATAGGGATGTGACTGGGTGTGTTGCTGGCTTGCCTCCTCTGGTTCCGCAACTTTTCTTCTCTTCTCCATTTTGCTCGCCGATTAGAAAACCATACCTAAGGAGCAGAGAAGGTCACAAAGTTTGAGATGATGGTTAAGCCAACCCTTCTATCAATGCTGCCTTGTGCAAACTGGAAAATTACATTGCTGTATGTAAGTAACTGATTTATTTCTGCTCTATAAAGTTAATATGCTTTATGCAATGACGTTACAAGGGGGTGCGGGGGTGCGGCTGACTGACCGACAGTCATTTTATCAGTCACACCCCCCTCTGAAAAGTCAGGCACTCGGTCATGGAGGGCAAAAATAAGAGTTTAAAGAAGGCCAAATGACCTAAATTAACAAAAAGACAACATCCACTAAACAGAACAGTTATTGATATAAAGTGTACTTGAACCCAAGAACAAAAATGTTACATATTGCAGCTTACCAGACCTTAGATGTGGTATCTGCATTAGTTTTCTTTATTAAGACTCTTTCTTCCTTTATTTTCACCTGGTGTTTCTGCAAGTAACACACTTCCTGTCCTAGGGGGACAATGCTCACTCACTGGGGTTGGTTTACTAAAGGCAAATAGGCTGTTCACTTTCCAAGGGAATTCGCACTTTGCAGGGCCAGTTTCCCTTAACTTAGTGAATGTGGTGTAACTTCACTGTGTATAGAATACCCAATTGTGTGAAAGGAAAATAAAAAACAGCATTTTTTCTCATCACCCAAACAATTGGGTGATTGAAGTCAGCAGAACTTCCCCTCATTCACTAAACAAAGGGCAAATTTCCCCTGCTAAATGCAAAGTCCCTTGCAAAGTACACAGCCTATTTGCCTTTAGTAAATCAACCCCAATGTATTGTACCTGTGGTGGAGCAGTGCCTTTGCCCTAGCAGGGAAAGTGTGTGTTAGGACTAAAAAAAAACTCCACTTCTTCTCATCTCCACAACATAGTGGGGAGGTGTTCTGTACTTCATATCTGGGCAGGTCTTATAACTGCCTAAGATTTAAGTGCAGCACAGGTAGAGTACACAAGAATTTAGGAGCAAAACAGGAAAGAATGGTCACCAGCACTCCAAGTTTTCTTCAAAACGAAATCCTTTTATTCATTCTTGCCGGTCATATTAGCCACGCATGGTGATATGACTTGCAAGAATGAATAGAAGGATTTTGTTTTGAAGAAAACTTTGAGTGCTGGTGACTATTTTTTCTGTTTTGCAAGTATTTGGCGGCACCATCCGTGGCCACTTCAGCACACACACACACACACACCCCCCCCCCCCCC